TCATCAATATCTATCTATCATCTATCAACATCTATCTATCATCTATCTATATATCATCATCTATCTATCGCTATCTATCATGTATGTATGTATGTATGTATGTATGTATGTATCTCTATCTATCTATCTATCATCTATCTATCTATCTATCTAATCTATCAATCTATCTACTATCAACATCTGTCTATGCATCCATCCATCCACCTACCTGCTTACCTACCTACCTATCTAGTCTAGATTTCTGTGATTCAATTTTTTAACCTTAGTATGAAAAAAAGCACACTTGTGTCTTGGTGATATTTTGAATATTAAATCATTTAATATCTGGAAGGAGAGAAGAGCAGTGCCCAGCACACAGAAAGAACTAAATAGTGTTAGCTATTACTTTTGCCAGTATTATCATCAATTTTAGGTAGTATTTATTGATTTCATCTTCTGATGATAATGTATTTCTTTCATACAAATTTTGCTGTGTTTATCTCTTTAAATAATATATTTGGCTCTAATATATACACATGCCATATGTTTTTCTCTCTGTATATACACACACATCTTTGTTTCAATAACCTATAAATAACTTTGTATGCTCTCTAAACAAGATAAATAAATCCTTCCCACCTTTCTCCTTTATATCCCATTAAAAAAACTTCAGTCTTTTACCTCATTCATTAACAATATTTATTAGTCTAGTTAAGGCTTCTTGGGTCTGGAGAGATGGCTCAACAGTTAAGAGCACTGACCGCTCTTGCAGAGGACCCAGCTTCAAATCCCAGCACCCACATGGTGGATAACAACCACCTGTAACTCTGGTTCCAGGGGATTCAATGTTCTCTTCTGACCTTCGTGGGCATTGCACAACACATCTGCACATATATACATTCAGGTAATACATTCAGACACATAAAAATAATAAAATATTTAGAAAAGACTTCTATAATTTGCCTATGGGCTCGTTATAAAAATTGTAAGTGGTGTTTCCTTAATTATGATTGCGTATATTGCCATCTACTAAAGATAAAATAACATAACTGGAGATACAGAGGAAGATCTGTCACTAAACTTCTGCTGCTTCCAAAGGAAGCTTTCAGACACTGAGTGAAATGAATGCTCTTTTCATGGACTGTACCAGTTGCTCAAATAGATTATATCTGGTTTTCTATACACTGAGTTGTGGCATTTTTGTGTTTCTTAAAATTTCTCGTTGCCATGCTGTCCAAATCTGAGTCATATCATCTCACCACCTGCTTGCCACTGGCCATGTTCCTCATGAAAGCACCCTCACATTCAAGTGGTCAAGGAAGCTGAGGCATTCATATTTCTTTTATGAAAAGACATTGCTAGTGTTCTAGAGCCCTCTACCTGCAATATTTTTATAGATTCTTGCCAAAGATTTTACTGGACAGTATAATCTTTACTGGATGTCACACAGTCTTATTTCTAAATGAGAAAATGAGACCAGATATTTTAAAGTCTTTGTTGCTCTCACTGTGTAAGTGCCTAGGTCCGTATCCACAACCCCTGGTTCCACTGGTCTGTACTACTTCCTTTGAACCATTTGCCCACCCTCCTGATCCATGTCAACCACTTTAGGTTGGAATTTCCTAACTTGGAGTCCTTGAATCTATAACCAAGCCTGTAATTATCAAAATCAGATGATCCAGACATTCTTTTCCATTAGCACAACCAGGAATTTTATTTGTTGTAGCAACATGAGAGTGCCATTTAAAAATATAATCCATAGTAATAAAAACTATGAATTCATCACAACACCTTTATTTCCACACACTTTTATCTGTAAACATCTGCTTGCTTCCATACCCTATAACATAATTTGATCTTGCTATCATTTCGTTGATGAGAAAACTGACAGTCAGAGAGGTTAACATGTGCTCAACAGTCAAAGAACTAGTTGTCCCAGACTTGGGGCCAACATAGGTCCTGTGGCTTTGAGGGGGGTCCAGGTTATACTTCCTTATTTTACAGCCAAGGACTAACTTCACTGGGACCCATGAACAACAGATTCTGAACTTGAAAGGAGGCCTCACCATGTCTGGACATTTATAAAATCATGGTGATTTTACTGATTGCAAAAGTTGAGATACAGCAGAACACACTTTTAAGAAAGGGTCAGTGGAAACTACTTCCCAGTTAGAGCCTCTCTGAACTCTAGTCAGGCATGGCTCGTGGGAGGGAGACCTGGCCACACCACATAAAACATGACTTTCTGGATGATTCCCTCCATCCCACTCTAGCAGCAAAGGCCAGGAATGAGTCAGCCTCTTTGAAAGGTCCTCTTGCTGTTGCTCAAGCTTTATGACTAACTCGCTGAGTAAACGTCAAAAGTTTATTTTCCGTCCTTGAACTTCACTTTCTACTTTTCTCTTGTAAAAAAGAATGAAGGTAGAGTACATGGTCATTAAAGGAGTTTTGTTGCTCACAGGCCATGAATTATATGACAAGGATGCAGGCCAGCTGAGGCTCCCGGAAAGATATTTCCAATATTTGCACTATTGGAAGCATACACATTTTTAAGCTTATAATTACTGAATGTATAAAACATGCAGACATTGTCTCAAATGGTTTATGGTTACTTAAACATAACATTGTTAGACCTCACATCTAAAACTGAATGACCATAGATTCCTGATAACAATCATCGAGGCAAGACTCATCTTTATTCTGCTGTGTGATTTCCTCTGCTTCTGCCCACATCCCCAGTATATTTTTGTGAATTGTCTATGTGGTGTTTAGTTATTTGTGATTTTATTGTAGTCTTCCTTGGTGTGCTTATGGCTTATTTAGTGTTCATTGCTACAGATTTTTGAGCACTTTGTGCATTCTCTCTTTTTTAGCCCTGAAAATAGCCCTATAAGCAGCTATTATCTGTTTTTACTCAGAGGAAGTTAAACCTCTGTTGATATTAATGTATCTAAGATTATCCAGTGGAGGTGGAAGTGGGCTGGTGATAAATTCTGTCCTCTTTGCTATGAATTTATTTTGTTCTTTTTCTACATCTTGTGGCACCTTTATGATTTGCAGAAGTAAAGAAATCTCCCAGAAATTAATCAGATGCTTTTCACTTTCAAACCATAGAAAAGCTTGGCAGATCTCAATACCTTTCTCAGCATCTGACTGTGAAACTGTATAAATCCATTTTCTGTCTCGTGGCTGGTTCCTGGGCTCCCCGTGATGGACAGATTGTTCAAAACACCTGAGCAGAGGCTAGGTGGCAGCAGGTTGGGCCAGATTTAGCCTTGCTGGGATTGTGCTGTACACACATAGACATACACATAGACATACACAGACACACACACAGACACAGACACACAGATACACCCACACAGACACAGATTCAGACACAGATACACCCATACACACACACACACACACACACACACACACACACACAGACACACATAGACACACACAGAC